TAGTTAAGGGTCTTTTTCTTGGTTTGTCTCTCTCTCTCTTTCCCTGTCTCTCTCTCTCTTTTATCCCTTTGTTCCTTTGTTTTGTTTCCTAAATTCCACATATGAGTGAAATCATATGGTATTTCTTTCTCTGACTGACTTATTTCACATAGTATTATACTCTTTAGCTCCATCCATATCATTGCAAATGGCAAGATTTCCTTCTTTTCTTATGGCTGATTAATATTCCATGTATATATGTACATATTAATACCCATATATATATACCATATCTTCTTTATTCATTCATCTATAGATGAATACTTGGGTTGCTTCCAAAATTGGGCTGTTGTAAATCATACTGTGACAAACATAATGGTACATGTATCACTTAGAATTAATGGTTTTGTATTTTGGGGGTAAATACTGTGGATCATAGGGTAGTTCAATTTTTAACTTTTTGAGGAACCTCTGTTTTAATTTTCCAGAGTGGCTCCACCATTTTGCATTCCTACCCAGAGTGCATAGCTGTTCCTTTTTCTACACATCCTCACCAACACTTGTTTTTTGTGTTTTTGATTTTAGTCATTCTGACAGGTGTGAGGTAATAACTCATTGTAGTTTTGATTTTCATTTCCCTGATGATAAGTGATTTCAAGCATTTTTTTATTTGTGTGTTGGCCATTTGGATGTCTTCTTTCAGGAAATGTCTGTTCATATCTTCACCCATTTTTAATTGGGTTATTTGTTTTTGGGGTATTGAGTTGTATAAATTCTTCATATATTTTGAATATTAATCCCTCATTGGATATATGATTTGCAAATATCTTCTCCCATTTGATGAGTTGTCTTTTTGTTTTGTTGGTCTAGAGGACATAGTGCTAAGTGCAATGTCAGTCAAAGAAAGACAAGTACCATATGATTCACTCATATGTGGAATTTAAAAAGCAAAACAAACAAACAAAGAAAAAAGACAAACAAAAGAAACAGACGCACACTATAAGAATAAACTAGAAGTTCTTGGGGGAGGATAGGCAAAATAGGTAAAGGGGATTAAGGAGGATATCTGCCATGATAAACACTAGGTGATGTATGGAATTGTTAAATCACTCTATTGTATACCTGAAACTAATATAACATGTATGTTAATTATACTTGAATTTTAAAAATAAATTTAAAAAAGAATTTAAAAATCAATAGCCTAAAGGTAGCTGGCAAACTACATAATACCAGATTAAACACACTTTAAATAAAACGTTAGCCAAAAAGAAGTCTCAAGGAAAATTTACAAATATTTCAAAGTAATGAAAATAGAAATACCACTTGCCAAAATCTGTGGGATGCATCAAAAGTGTTTAGAGGGAAATTCATAGCACTAAGTGGCTATGTTTGAAAAAAGGAAAAACCCAAAATCATTCATCTAACCTTCCACCTTAGCAAACTAGAAAAAGAGCAAATTCAATACAAAGTAAGTAGAAGAAAAGAAATAAAAACTAGATTAGAAATAAATAAAATTGAAAACAGAAAATCAATAGAGAAAATCAACAAAACCAAGAAGTCGATTCTTTGAAAAGTTCAATAAAATTAATAAATCTTTAGTTAACAAACCCAAAAGAGAAAAAACACAAATTGCTAATACCAGAAATGAAAGAGGGGCCATCGTTATTGATCCTATGGATATTAAGAGGATAATAAAAGAATATTATGAGCAATTATATGATCACAAATTTGATAACCTAGACAAAATGGACTAACTTATTAAGAAAACAGTCTACCAAAACTTATATAAGGAAAAAATTGATCATCCAAATAGGCTTTATATCTACTAAAGTAATTAAATCAATAATTACTGTCCTAAAACAGAAAGCCACAGGCTAAGATGGATTTACTAATAAATTGTGTAAAACATTTGAGAAAAAAATAGCAATTTTTCTACAATCTCTTCCAGAAAATAGAAGCAGAGTTAATACTCTGTGAGGCCAGCATTAACTTAATACCAAAACCAGAGAAAGACTACAAGGCATGAAATATTAAGACTGAAATCTCTCATAAACATATATACAAAAATTTTTAACAAAATATTAACAAATCAAATCCAACTAATTACCCTAAGAATTCTTGTCACAAGGATACTTTTTATGTTTCCTTTTATTGTATCTATATGAGATTATAGATGTTAATTAAACCTATTTTGATAATCATTTCACAATATAAGTAAATCAAACTATCATGTTGTTTACCTTACACTTACACAATAATCTATGTCAATTATTTCTCAATTAAAAAATGGGAAAAGAATGTAAAATGCAAATCTATAAAATTCCTAGAATATAACATAGGAGAAAATCTAAGTGACTTTAGATTTGGGTTTGGGGATGACTTTTTAGATACAGAAGCAAAAGTGCAGACCATTATTGGAAGATGGCAGAGCGTGAGGACTCTAGGCTCACTTCTTCACATGAATACAAGTGGATAACACTCGCATCAGTGTAAATAACTCAGAAAATGACCTGAAGATTGGCAGCACAAACTTCACAACTAAATGGAGAGAAGAGGTCACATTAAAGAAGGTAGAAAGGGCATCTACTGTGGGGAGTTAAAGGGTCTCACAAGCCAACCATGGAATGAAGGGAGCTGCGGCAGCAGAGAGAGAAGAGATACAGACTATCACACTGGGAAGTCCACACATGGAAGATGAATTCCCACAGCATTTGGCTTTGAAAACTAGAGATGCTGAATTTTGAGAGTTCTAACAAACAGCAAGACTTATAGCCTGGAACTTTAAAAATCAACAGACTCAGCTCTGGGAGAGCTGGGAGGGTGATAAGAAGCAGTCCCAGCCCTTAAAGAGACAGCACAACAAAAAAACCCCACAGAGATACAGTATACATGCAGCAGTTTGAAAAATGTCTGAGGCATATGGGAGGGAAAGTTATTAATCATGGAGTGTATCTCTGAGGGACAGAGATTAGTGGGAGACTCCTCCAGGAACAAGGGAGTTGGCAGGTGCCATTTCCATCCCATATCCCTCAGCATAAACATACACCATCTGTGGAAAACAGCACTTTGCCAGCATTCACTACCTAACTTGCTTACACAACACCCAGCCCCCTCCAAGCCAGGCCTGTCTCAGTCCTGATGCTGCAGATCCCCCTCCCCAGAAGACCAACACAAATCTTGCCAAATTTCGTCTCCAAACAGTACCTTTTTTCTGGGAACAGTGGTAGTGGCCAGACATCTCCCAGAGACCAAGCACACCTTGTTAAAACTGTGGGCCCTACTCAGGCAACTATTGCAGATTGGACCCAGCAAGCCCCAGTCTCTGCAGCAGAGACACATCCCTTCTGGCAAAGGGCCAGCACTACCTTGTTAAGAGTGCACACTCATCCCACTACTTTCTAGAGCAGGAGATGTAGCTTACTCACCTAACACACAGAAAAGTACACAGAGAGTTAGACAAAATGAGGAGACAGAGGAATATATCCCAGATGAAGGAACAGGATAAAATTACAGCAAGAACTTAAGTGAATGGAGATAAGTAACATGCCTGATAAAGAATTTAAAGTAATGATCATAAAGATACACACTAGACATGAGAAAACAGTAGAGGGCATCAGTGAGACCCTTAACAAAGAGATTTTAAAAAAGAACCAATCAGACATGAAGAACACAATAAATGAAATTAAAAATAAAATAGATGAAATAAATAGCAGAATAGAAAAAGGAGAAAAATGAATCAGTGATCTTGAGGACGGGTAATGGAAAGTAATCAAGCTGACCAGTGAGAAAAAAATATGCAAAATGAGAATAAACTTAGGGAACTCAGTGATTCCATCAAGCATAATAACATTCACATTATAGGAATCCCAGAAGAGAGAGAGAAAAGGGGACAGAAAGTTTATTTGCAGAAATAATAACTAAAAACTTCCTACATCTGGACGAGGAAACAGAAAATCAGATTCAGGTGGCACAGTGATCCTCCAACAAAATGAACTCAAGGAGGTTGACACCAATACGCAGATAATTAAAATGGCAAAAAGTAGTGATACAGGATTTTAAAAGCAACAAGAGAAAACAATTACATATAAGGGAAAGCCCATATCAGCAGATTTTTCAACAGAAAGTTTGCAGGCTAGAAGAAAGTGGCATGATATACTCAAAGTTCTGAAAGGAAAAAAATCTGAAGACAAGAGTACTCTATCCAATGAGGATAAGTGTATCATTCAGAATATAAGAATAAATAAGGAATTTCCCAGACAAACAAAAGTTAAAGGAGTTCATGACCACTAAACCAGCCCTAAAAAATGTTAAAGAGGACTCTTTGAGTGGAAAGGAAAGACCATAAATAGGAGTAAGGGAAGTAAGAAGAACAAAAGCAATAAAAATAAGTGTATCTCTAAAAATCAGTAAGGGGACTCACAAAATAAAAGGATGTAAAATATGACACCATGTACTTAAAACGTGGGGGTGAGAAGAGTAAAGAATGGGTTCAGGGGTGCATGGGTGGTTCAGTTGGTTAAGCATCTGCCTTCGGCTCAGGTCATGATCCCAGAGTCCTGGGATCGAGCCCTGCATGGGCTTCCCTGCTCAGCGGGGACCCTGCTTCTCCCTCTCTCTCTGCCACTCCCCCTGCTTGTGTTCTCTCTCTCTCTCTCTGTCAAATAAATAAATAAAATCGTAAAAAAAAGAATGGGTTCAAACATAAGCAACCATCAACTTAATATAGACTACTATATGCAGAAGATGTTATACACAGACCTAATGGAAACCACAAATCAAAAGCCAGTAACAGATACCCAAAAAATAAAGAGAAAGGAATCTAAGTATATCACTAAAGAAAACCAACTTATGGTGAAAGAAGAGAGCAAGGGAAGAAAGGAACAGAAAAGATCTACAAAACAACCACAAAGCAACAAATGGCAATGAAAATACTTATTAATAATTAATTTGAAAGTAAATGGGATAAATGCTCCAATCAAAAGACATAGAGTGGGCCGCCGCCGCCGCTGTCGAGGCCGCCGCCGCCGCCGCTGTCGAGGCCGCCGCCGCCGCCGCCGTCGCCGCCGCGCAGAGCCGAAGCAGGAGCCACGGCCGAGAAAAGGGAGGAGGTGGAGGAGGAGGTGGAGGAGGCGCCGGACCGGGGGGATTGCCGGTATTTAAACAGACCACATCATGCGTGAGTACAAGCTAGTGGTCCTTGGTTCAGGAGGCGTGGGGAAGTCCGCTCTGACAGTTCAGTTTGTTCAGGGAATTTTTGTTGAAAAATATGACCCAACGATAGAAGATTCCTACAGAAAGCAAGTTGAAGTAGATTGCCAACAGTGTATGCTCGAAATCCTGGACACAGTGGGAACAGAGCAATTTACAGCGATGAGGGATTTGTATATGAAGAATGGCCAAGGGTTTGCACTAGTATATTCTATTACAGCTCAGTCCACGTTTAATGACTTACAGGACCTGAGGGAACAGATTTTACGGGTTAAGGACACAGAAGATGTTCCAATGATTTTGGTTGGCAATAAATGTGACCTGGAAGATGAGCGAGTAGTTGGCAAAGAACAGGGTCAGAATTTAGCAAGACAGTGGTGTAACTGTGCCTTTTTAGAATCTTCTGCAAAGTCAAAGATCAACGTTAATGAGATATTTTATGACCTGGTCAGACAGATAAATAGAAAAACACCAGTGGAAAAGAAGAAGCCTAAAAAGAAATCATGCCTTCTGCTTTAGACCCACAGTGAGCAGCAGCTCTGAGCCAGATTACAGGAATGAAGAACTGTTGCCTAATTGGGAAGTGCCAGCATTCCAGACTTCAAAAATTAAATCTGAAGAGGCTTCTCCTGTTTTATATATTATGTGAAGAATTTAAATCTTATATTGGTTTGCACAGATTCCCTGGAGAAAAAAAAAATTGCTCTGTGTATATCTCTTGGAAAATAAGACAATAGTATTTCTCCTTTGCAATAGCAGTTATAACAGATGTGAAAATAAATATACTTGACTCTAATATGATTATACAAAAGAGCATGGATGCATTTCAAATGTTAGATATTGCTACTATAATCAGATGATTTCATATTGACCTTTTTATCATGATTCCTCCCTGTCAAGAACTAAAAGTTGAACCATTATACTTTATATCTGTAATGATATAGATTATGAAATTTCCCCTCAAACTCATTGCAGCAGATAACTTTTTGAGTCATTGACTTCATTTTATATTTAAAAATTATGAAATATCATTCTGTCATTATATTCTAATTAAAATTGTGCATAATGCTTTGGAAAAATGGGTCTTTTATAGGAAAAAACTGGGATAACTGATTTCTATGGCTTTCAAAGCTAAAATATATAATATACTAAACCAACTCTAATATTGCTTCTTGTGTTTTACTGTCAGATTAAATTACAGCTTTTTTGGATGATTAAATTTTAGTACATTTTCAAAAAAAAAAAAAAGACATAGAGTGATCAAGTGGATGAAAAAACAAGACCCATCTATATACTGCCTACCAGAGACTATTTCAGATGAAAAGAAACATGCAGATTGAAAGTGAGGGGATGGAGAAACAAAAGTGAAGGGATGGGGAAAAAATTATCATGAAAATGACTGTGAAAAGAAAGCCAGGGTAGCATTACTTATATCAGACAGAAGGCAGATGCTCAGCTCAACTGACTGAGCCACTCAGGCACCCAGACAAAATAAACTTTAAAACAGACTGTAAGAAAAGACAAAGAAGGGCACTATACGATCATTAAGGGAAAAATACAAGTTATAACAATTGTAAATATTTATGCACCCAACACAGGAGCACCCAAATACATAAGACAATAACAAATATAAAGGAACTAATCCATAGTAATATGAAAACAGTAATGGACTTTAACATCCCCCTTACATCAATGGACAGATCATCTAAGCAGAAAATCAACAAGGAGATAATAGCTTTGAATAACACGCTGGACCAGATTATTTAATGCATTTATTCAGAACATTCCATCTTAAAAGAGTAGAATACACATTCTTTTCAAGTGCATGCCGAACATTCTCCAGAATAGAGCACATATTAGGTAACAAAACAAGTCCCAACAAATTAAAAAGATGGAAGTTATACCATGAATCTTTTGTGACCACAAAACAAGGAAAGTAGAAATCAACCACAAGAAAAAATCTGGAAAGAGCAAACATATATGGAGGTTAATTAATATGCCACCGAACAATGAATGAGTCAACAAAATATCAAAAAAGAAATAAAAAACAAAAATGGAGAAAAATGAAAATAAAACTGCAATGGTCCAAAACTTTTTGGATGCAGCAAAAGAGGTTCTAAGAGAGAACTTTATAACAATGCAGGCATACAGCAAGAAGCAAGAAAAATCTCAAATAAGTAACCTAAGCCTTACTCCTAAAGGAGCTATTAGAAGTGGAACAAACACAGCCCCAAACAGCAGAAGAAAAGGAATAATAAAGATTAGTGCAGAGATAAATAATATGGAAACTAAAAAACAAACAAAAAAACAAAAAACAAACAAAAAAAACCCCACAATAGAATAGAACAATGAAACCAGGAGCTGGTTCTTTTAAAAAAAAATAATAAAATTGATAAGCCTCTAGCCAGATTCATCAAAAAAAAAAAAAAAAAAACAGAGGAGTCAAATAAACAAAATCAGAAATGAAAGAGAAAAAATAGCAACTGACACTTTAGAAATACAAAGAAACATAAGAGAATATTATGAAAAATTATGTGCCAATAAACTGGACAACCTAGAAAAAATGGATAAGTTCCTATAAATTCCTATAAATACCTACCAAAACTGAATCAGGAAGAAATAAAAAATTTGAACAGATACATTACCAGCAAAGTATTGAATCAGTAATCAAAGAACTCCCAACAAACAAAAGCCCAGGGCCAGATGGCTTCACAGGTGAATTCTATCAAACATTTAAAGAAGAGTTAATATCTATTCTTCTCAAACTTTTCCAAAAAATAGAAGGGGAAGGAAAACTTCCATATTTATTCTATGAGGTCAGCATTATTCTGATACCAAAACCAGATAAAGACACAACAAAAAGGAAAACTACAGGATATCCTTAATGAACATAGATGCAAAAATTCTCAACAAAATATTAGGAAACTGAATCCAACAATACATTTTTAAAAATTCAATACAATAAAGTGAGATTTATTCCCAGGATGCAAGCGTGGTTCAATATTCACAAATCATTCAATGTGATACATCACATAAGACAAAGAATAAAAACCATATGATTCTTTCAATAGATGCAGAAAAATCATTTGACAAAGTACAGCATCCTTTCATGATTAAAAACCTTCAACAAAATAAGTTTAGAGGGAACATATCTCAACATAATAAAGGCCATATATGAAAAGTCCACAGTGAACATCATCCTCAGTGGTGAAAAACTGAGAGCTTTTCCCTTAAGTTCAGGAACAAGATAAGGAAGTCAACTTTCACCACTTTTATTCAACACAATACTGGAAATCCTAGCCACAGCAATTATAAAACAAAAAGAAATAAAAGGCATCCTAATAGGTAAGGAAGAAGTAAAACTTTTATTATTTGTAGATGACATGATACTATATGTAGAAAATACTGAGGACTCCACCAAAAACAAAAACAAAAACTGCTAGAACTGAAAAATGAATTCAGTAAAATCACAGGATACAAAATCAATGTACAGAACTCCATTGTATTTTGATAGACTAATAATCTAGCTCCAGAAATAGAAATTAAAAAAAATCTCATTTAAGATTGCAACAAAAGTAATAAAACATCTAGGAATAAACTTATCTGAAGTGGTGAAAGAACTGTACTTTGAAAACTGTGGTACATTGATGAAAGGTTTTAAAGATGACACAAACAAATGGAAAGACATTCCAGGCTAATGGCTTGGAAAACCAAATATTGTTAACATGTCTATACTACCCAAAGCAATCTACAGATTTAATGCTATCCCTATCAAGATACCAATAACATTTTCCCCAGAACTAGAACAAACAATGCTAAAATTTGTATGAAAGCACAAGAATCACCAAGGAAATCTTGAAAAAGAAAACAAAACTGGAGGTATCTTGATTCTAGGTTTCAAGTTATATTACAAAGTGGTATTAATCAAACAGTATGGTACTGGAACAAAAAAAATAGATCAATGGAACAGAATAGAAAGCCCAGAAATAAACCCATGATAACATGGTCAATCTTCAACAATGGAGACAAGAATTATGCAATGGGGAAAAAACAGTCTCTTCAACAAATGGTGTTGGGAAACTTGGATTCATTCTTTTGCAAAAGAGTGAAACTGGACCAATTGCTTACACTGTACACAAAAATAAAGTCAAACTGGGAGAGGGGTAACTCCCTTGGCAAAGGAGTAGGGGACCATAAGTTTGTCTGGTCCCTCGAATACAGGTAGATAGTTATCAAATCATTCTGAATACCTGCAAAATTAATCAGAGATTTGAGAAAAAAATGTTGCAATTCTACAAATAGAAAAGCAACTACTTTTTAGAAAGTAGGAGGTGCAGAGATGTGAATCTGGGGTGATATATTAGAAGATATGGCCGAGGGGAGGGAGCCTGCTTAAGGAGGCTATTGAAAAATATTATAAGCAGGAGAGCACAAAATTGGAATTTTTAGAAGTCTGCTACAGTGGGGGAGGTGCCTGGTTAAAGGTGTTCAGGTGAAGAAGCACGGCGGAAGCCTAGGTGGGACGGCATGTCGCAGGATTCCCAGAGTCACAAGAAGAATGGGTGTGCCTTAGTGCTGCAGAGTTCTCAGGCATGGGAGCAAGGGTAGGTGGCACCTGAAAACAGTGAGTCTAGGTGCCCGTTTTCTGCCCCATGTTGCCATAAACTGTGAACCCCTGCATGGCCATGTGACCACTTTCCTGGCAGGGGTCCAGCAAAAGGCAGAAGCATGGTGAGACCCCCCTCCCTCCCCCAGGAGGAACAGCACAGGTCCATGTCACAGGAGTCCAAAAAATTTGGAGTATTGAAACAGAGTCATGTGCCTGAGATAAAAATGCTCACAGGCATGGTGAACATGGAGTTCTGATGGAAACGAGAGTGGAGGGAGACAAGAGCGTTTTTCTGTGAGGGCTCAGTGAAGAGTAAAGGAGGTAAACATTCAGATCCAGGGCTAAAGGGCAGGGAACCACCATTTTCATCCGTCCCATTGGTGCTGAAAGCTTTCAGGGAGCAAAACAGCACCACATATTCAAATCAGGAGCCACTTACAAAGAGCCCGGCCTCCTGGCAAGGGAGGCACATTTCCACTACGGGAAGGGCACTTGAGAATCAGTGGAACAGGCCACTCCACAAAAGATTAGCACAAACAAATAGCTTACACCAAGTTTACTAATCATAGAGGGATAAAAAAACTTCAGCTCTTGGGGAACACGGTATACAGCATTTGTGCTTTTTTGATTATTTACTCTTTCAGTATTATATTTTCAGTTGTTTTCTTTATTTTTCAATTCTTTTTAAAATTTTAATTTTATTTAAAATCAGTTAATTAACATATAGTGTATTATTAGTTTCAGAGGTAGAGTTTAGTGATTCATCAATTACATATAACACCCAGTGTTCATTACATCAAGTGTCCTCATTAATGCGCATCACCCAGTTACCCCATTCCACCACCCACCTCTCTTCTAGCAACCATCAGTGTATTTCCTATACTTAAGAGTTTGTCTTAAGTATAGGAAGGTTTGTCTCCCTCTCTGATTCCATCTTTTTATTTTTCCATCCCTTCCCATACGACCACCTATTTTGTTTCTTAAATTCCACATACGAATGAAATCATATGGTATTTATTTTTCTCTGTTCCATCCACGAGGTTGCAAATGGAAAGATTTCATTCTTTTTGATGCCTGAGTAATATTCCACTACACACACACACACACACACAGACCACATCTTTATCCATTCATCTGTTGATGGATATCTAGGCTCTTTCCATAGTTTGGCTATCATGGACATTGCTTCTATTAAAAAAACAGGAAACTGAAGAGATTTTAAAAATATATGGAAACAAAACAAAGTGAAAACATGATGGTCCATGTCTTCTGCCCATTTCTTGACTAGATCTAGTCAGAATGGCTAAAATTAACAAGACAGGAAACAACAAATGTTGGTGAGGATGTGGAGAAAGGGGAAACCTTTTACACTGTTGGTGGGAATGCAAGCTGGTACAGCCACTCTGGAAAACAGTATGGAGGTTACTCAAGCTGTTAAAAATAGAGCTACCCTATGACCCAGCAACTGCATTACTATGTATTTACCACGGGATACAAAAGTAGTGAACTGAAGGGGCACCTGGACCCCAATGTTCATAGCAGCCATGTCCACAATAGCCAAACTGTGGAAAGAGCAGAGATATCCTTTGACAGATGAATGGATAAAGAAGATGTGGTAT